GCAACAACGTTGGGATCGTCCGGCGAGAAGCAAACCCGCCCGCAAGGGTAGGATGCAAAGAAAAACCGCATCCCATCCCAATCGGCTGACCTATAGTGCCAAACACGGCGGCAGCCTGCAGAATGCAACTGCGATTTCAGCGTGAGTGGCACCACAATCCGGACAAGACAATGGTCCGAGGAGCCTAAAGGGGCTTCGACGGAAATATGATATCCGTCCGGGTGAGAGGTCAGCAGAAGGTCCAACAGGGAAGGTGCATGACCCTCCACATCTCCAATCCCAGAACTTGACGGTTGGCCACCCAAGGCTCTTGTATAAGGGCGAGGTCAATGTTGTCCTCTGCAAAGCAAACCTCTACCACGACAGAAGCAGTTGCTGCATGGTTAAGATTTGCTTGGAGGACCCTCGTCTTACCCTTGGGTTTAGCCATTTATGGGCGTGGGGGGCAGGGGGTTTTTCCGCCTGTTGAGAACGAGGACTCCTTTACCTGCGCACTTGACCCCCGCCTTACCTTTCGTCAAACCGCTCCCACCTCCCCTCCCCCAGGCCTGGACGACACCAGCGGAGGCCGTCGGATCGAGGCAAAATCTGCGCTTTGGATCTTCGTCACTCTCATCGGTGGTGTTCCAGCCTCACCCCGAGAGGTGGAGGGTTGGGGGGATTGGAGTTGGGGCGGTTCGGGCTCCATTGCCGCGTCAGAGCCTCCCCTGACTTTAAAAGTTATCATCTTAAAGCCAAGGACGACTCTGCCGCCTGCCTTCCGTAGAGCCAGTAGTAGAGCCTCTGCCGATGGGTCGTCCAGAGAAAAGGTTACTAAGAACCCATTCTCCTCCTCCCTACTGGCTTGCCTTATTCAGGCACGTTACCATAATCCAACCTGGCTTGTGGATGAAACCCGAAAATTTTGGTCCCATTTCCGGTTGCGCCCCACAGACCGTCTTAGCGATGGCCTGCGTTAGTGCCCGGTGGACCAGCCGCATCTGCTCCACACTCATAGGATTCGAATTGCAAATTCCTATACGCGCGGAGCCAGCTACGGCACTGAAGCTGAGCTTCTTTTCCCCCGTTGCCAGCTTCACAGACTTCCTGGGCTGGTCTTTAGGGGACTCTTCCTCAGACCGATTGCGTTTTTTCGCCTTTGGAACTGGGCTTGGGCAGAGGAATTTCGTCCCAAAGCTTCTGGCAGAGAGAGAGATGGCCTTTTCGTCTCCTATTTCAGCCTTCGGTACATTTTCCTTGCTGCCCCACTAAGCTTAGGCCTATCGAACTTTTTCTTTTCCCCTCCCTGGTTCGTTACCGTTTGTGGTTCGGCTGCAGAAGTGCCCTCCACTTCACGGTTTGTCCCAGGTTGGGGCACAATGTTGCAGGGTGTCGGTGAGGCTAAAAGAGCCTCTTCCAGGCCTACAGCTAGTTACATTAAAGGAGATTTCTCAATATCTTTTCCAAAATGTCGGTTTTCGTCCATTTTGTTCCCACGATTAGCTAGGGAAATACTCGGTCAACCCCGACAGAGCCCCGCATGCCGAGGGAAGGGCTAAAATACTACCCGAATCGCCCTGGTCTCGGGTAGGCACCATTTGCGACTGGACTCCCTCCAGCCACGCATCCATCGGCACGGTACGCTTAACACCTTGGATAGGAAAAGGGGGTAGGATAAAAAGAAAGGAAAAAGGGGATCGTCCGAGTGTTTCCGTTCTGTCTGTTTCCTATTGAACCAGACCAAATAACAGGCGGCAACCAGAAGGAGAACTCTCAAACTTGCTCTGGGGATCAACGTCCAGAGACGAGGAGAGCAGAATAGGTGTTAATCTAGTCCTATTTATATATGGGTATAGTTTCATTAAGTTACGCCACAATTTGGTTTGAGCCCATTCTCCATACAAAAATAAATTGTCTTTTTCAAATACTTACATACATAATATTGCAATTATTTAAATTAATATTTTAATGAATATTGAATGATTAATTGATTAATAATAAAGAAGACTGATTTTTGCAATTTTATTGTTATTTCATTAGAATTTGAGAATATTTTATGGTAAATAATAAAAAGCATTGTTTTTTAAAAATTTGTCATGTTATACTAAGACTAAAAAATTAAGGGTGTCCAGCCTTTTTACCAAAATGTCCGACTAAGCTCGTTGGTCTGTCCGGCTTTTCGGTCTTAAGGCCTGGCAACCCTAGCCGTGGCGGTGTTATTTTGTGCTAGAGCATCGTCAACAACGCTCGCAATTTTTAATCGTTGGAAATATGTACTTTCGTACACTGTATTTCAATTAGTATAAAGTTCGCACATTATTATTATACCAGATAGTTAACTCATTATAGTTATTTTGATTGTAGCTGAGCTTTCTTACCAGTCCGAATGGGGAAAAATAAATATAAGTATCAATGTGTCACTTAACGTAAAAAAATAAATATCCTATCTCTGGAGAAAATATAATGGAGAATAAAAATGTCTGCATGCTTGCGATATGGACTGGCCCAGATTATGCAGTTAAAGTACTAAAATCTACAAAGACGACAAATTTTGGATTTTGAATATGTTAGCAAAGTTACAAGCATTTTATAAAAAGTGTGTACTGCCTGAAATTATTGACTTGAGATAAGCTCGGTCAATGCCGTTGCAGCAAATATTTTTACAATAAAAAATATGGTAATTGACTAAGCACCGATAAAAAAATATAAGTTACAGTTGGTTATTTTATTTTATTAAACCAGGTTGCAAACGTACTATTAATTTATTTATATTATACCACTATGCTACCGTTAGTAGACATAATCAATTACTAACCGACATCGGTTAACAATCGATTACTGTGAAACAAAATATTTATGTGTGCTTATTTCAAAACTAAGGTTCATAAATAATGAAAAATACATCAAATAGATTTAATAAATTAATTAGGTAACATAGACGTGACACACCAAAAATTTTTCATCCACTGAACTCCATCCTAAGAAAACTTGTATAATGGAAGATCAAGATCGTTTAGTCGCTATATTCACAGTTATGTAGTGCGAGCGATTGAATAGAGATATGAAATAAAGTGGCGCTCGCGTAGGTCATCGCACGGAGCGTAAAATACCTAAATTTGCGTAACGCCGAAATGTAACAGGGATGTTACATTTTCAATAAAAAATGTTGATCTGTATCAAAACTATCTTATCTCTCAGGTTGGAAGAAACTGCACACAATATGCAAAATTTCATCGAAATAAGTTCAGTAGTTTAGGAGTTCATCACTCATCAATGTGACACATAATTTTTATATATAAAGGAGATAAAAATTGGGGTTATTGAGGTTTAGCTGGCTATTAATTAGGTGCAAGTGCTGCACCCAGTTTGTTAAACTTGAGTGTATTCCATTTGTCCATATTTGGAATTTGTAACCTTTGTACTAAAACTTGGTACAGTAAAGTCTGAGTAATAATTACAATTCTAGATTTCTAATCATTTTCAGAAATATGAAGAACGCATCAAGTAATATTTTATTTATTTATTTAATCTTTATTGTAATGCACCTTAAACTAAGGGTCACACATTACACACACCTACCTAACCAGCACCTACATGACCTGCGTATCTTCTAGCTGATAAAACTTTGCTGAATTTCTTTTATCTACTGCATTCAGCTAGAAGTGAAGAACTAGTTTGGATGTATAGAATATAGGATAAAGCTTACTTATTTCTATTATAATACTTTTTTATTATTATAAGCATCGATCACTAATAAAGAACTAGATGCACAATCCCATACAAAAGTTCTCTAAAAACTGTCGCCAATTGTTGCTCGTAACGTAACTCTAGTTGAAATAAATATACATTTATGTAAATTCAACCTTAAATACATTGCCTATAGTTGTATTCAAAAGATACGTACGAAAAACAATAAATTTTTATGACTGATCTATATCAAAACAAATTCAACCTTACACGCGTGGTTTAAAGTCAGAATTACAAAGTGCTAATAAAAAGCAATCAAATTTTACGACCGAGGCTCGTAGTTTAGACAAGGAATCATTGGAGTCGAATTGCCCAATATTTTTTGTTACTGTTATTTTAATTTTAAAATGTTTCTAACTTGTTTTAAAAACTGGTGTACATAAAGCATATTCTATGATGTATTATGTGTAATGGTTATAATTTACCTGAATGTGAATACGTTTTTGGATAGGACACCAGATTCATTTAGTAACGAACGTACTTGAAATATTCATAATTATTTATTTATTCTTCATCTTGTGTCAAAAATTTAAAAATATTGCCTGACAAAGAACTTAAATCTAAATTCAATAGTTACTAAATATAAAAATTATGTAGAGAAAGTTGTAAGTCGTAGTCACATATTCATCACTTTCTAAAACATGCTTCGAACATACAACCGCTTCCTTGGGTCGGCTTGAAGAATTCTTCGGACCTTTGACATGCTATGACTGATATCCATACTGCACACCTAACTGGATCTCGAGGAAAGCTGAAAAATTAAAAATAAAATCTCACATCTTTAATTTTACTGCATGCACATATTCAAAATTAAATCTATAATATGTTAAAAAATCATATTTTAATAATAAAAAAATAATAAGGTCTCCAACAAATGGAACAGAGTCAACGAACAATGATGACTTATTTTATTAAGACTTAATTTAAAAAAATGTTTTACGGAGATTTCTTGACAAAATATAAGTAATTACAATACAGTGATAACAATTAAATAATGATAATATTAATACGTACTGAAATTAGGAAATTCCATCCTTTTTTTAGCGTCCTGGATGTGTGATTTTTACACTTTTTAAACGAGCACTGAGGCATGTTTACCTTCGAAGCGTTCGAATGTGAGTAGATTAAAAGCGCACCCAAATGTTCGAATGGGTGCTCATTTGGTGAGGTCGTTTTTGTCACTACTTGTGTATCTAGTTTTTTATTAGTGATCGATGATTATAAGCCAGTGCTTGACTACTTGCAAAATTTTATATTATTATTATTATTTGCAGAGCTCGGCGCTTACGAGAAAAACAAGAAAAGGAGCGAAAAAGAAGAGAGCGCATGGGCTGGGATACTGAGTACCAATGCTACACCAACCAGGATAACCCATTTGGAGACTCGGCACTCACACATACCTTTGTATGGACTAAGAAACTTGCAAAAGAAGGAGTCAAAAATGTGTCAAGGGATGAATTAGAGGCATTGAATAGACAGAAGCAGTTGGAGAATAAAATTGAATTAGAAAAGGTGAGTTGTCAATTGTCAATATGAAGTCCTTTAGTTATAAGATTAATAACAATTCATCGTGATGTTCAGTATTACATCCATGTGCAAAAACACAGTTTCTGGTTAATTAGCTGAGTTGTAAACGTCTGGTGTATATAATTAATAAAATCTTGGATCATGTTGGATATATGGCCATTATTTGGAAGTTATAAGAAAATAATATGTATTTATTTATAAAGCTAATAGTGGAATCAGATCCTAAAGAACATGTTTTAGAATATTGTGTTTATAATCATTTTTATTAAAGCTAAAAAATTTACCAGAAAAATGCATTGCTGTAAATGTGTTGCTAAGTTCCAATTCTTGTGTTTCTCTCCATACTGATCAAAAATAGTGCTCCACCTTTTATCAAAAGAGAGAAGAAAATGATGGTCATGTACACTTAAACTATCTACAACGCACCTAGCCTTAACACGCAAGAAAATCCAAGTAAGGTAGGGCAGATTAACCTAAAGGGAAAATCAGCAACATATCGGCTCTGCCTTAAGATAGTTTGCATTGGCTAGGGGCCACTTTGTGGTTCATTCAGTAAGTGAGAGTTGTTGGTGATGTGTCAGGTGAAGCAGCGGCGGTTGGAGCGTGAGGCGGAGCGAGCGGAGCGTGAGGCGGAAGCTGCAGCAGCGGCACGCGCGCGGGAAGCAGCACAGTTTAGCAGCTGGGCACGACACGAGGATGCCTTCCACCTGCACCAGGCGCGCCTGCGCACGCAGATACGCATCCGCGATGGACGTGGTGAGCACCCTCCGCACTTTACACAACTACACGGCTCGTTCAGTTCAGTTCAGCAGCTAGGCGTGACACCAGGACGCCTTCCACCTGCACCTGGTGCGCCTGCACACGAAGATACGCCTCCGCGATGGACGTGGTAAGCACGGTCCGCGCTGCACACAACTACAACTACCCTTACAGACAACCACATAGTCCACCTGATGGTAAGTGAATCTCTAACCCATACACACCTTGCATATCTTCAATTGCCCAAAATGTAGTTATATCAAATATGTAGTAGTATCAAAATGTAGTTGCTAGTAGTAAAGTTTACCTCGATTGCTATACAAAAAATACCTTTCCAGACATTTTTATTGTGCTGCCATATTACATGCAGCATGATTTTACAACATAAAATACTCAATGAAATATTATAAAATAATGACTATCAATATCTTGATTGCAGCAAAACCTATCGATCTGTTGGCTTGGTATGTCAGCTCCGAGGAGTGCGTTGATGCATTAGAAATGCACGAGCCCTACACATATCTAAACGGACTGCAGATGCAGGACCTTGAAGACTTGCTTGAAGATATAAAGGTAAACTAACTGATTTTGTGAGTTCCGTTATTCTGTGAGAATTTGCAGGGTGCATTAAATAATTTCTGCAATCTTTGGTAGTAATGATTTCTTAAATTTAAAATCGGACCAAAAAAAAATTAATATTCAAAAACTGAAGGTAGCCGGGCTAACAATGACATTGTGACGTCAAACATCTCAGACCCCCCGGACCATGGGTGCTATAAAGCACCCGAAACATCGGGAATTAAAAATAAGTAAAAGTAATTAATTAAACGCGATAGAATCCGTAAATTTAGTTTTATTCAATCTTTGGTAGTGTCAAACACGACATTTTCATTAGAAAATTAAAATAAGAGTGAGTGTATGTGTGTGTGTGTGTGTGTGTGTGTGTGTGTGTGTGTGTGTGTGTGTGTGTGTGTGTGTGCGTGCGTGTGTGCGTGTGTGCGTGTGTGTGTGTGCGTGTGTGTGCGTTGCGTGTGTGTGTGTGTGTGTGTGTGTGTGTGTGTGTGTGTGTGTGTGTGTGTGTGTGTGTGTGTGTATCAAGTGATCATGGATTAAACTTTGTGTATATATAAACTATTATAAACTTTGTATAGAAATGTTTTATCTTAAACTACCCCTCACTTACGTGTGTAGAGCTCTGTCGTGGTTGATCCTTGATACAATTTTAATTTGTTTTATGTTAAGATTAGTATTATTTTTATCTTGTGCGTTATATGACAGATGTATGTTGCAGCTTATAAATTGGCCTTATTTTAATTTTAATTAGAGCCTTAAGTACTTATACATGTACAGTCAGAACTGCATAATAAAAAATGAGATTGATACATTTCTTCAGATTCAACATTTTTATAGTTTATTATAATTTCAAGTTTTAGTTTTTTAGGTACGTTAGTATTTAATAAGGGTTAATGGAACAAGTTGCACGCTATTTTCGAGCTCATAAAATAAGTCCTTAATTATATTTAAAGACTGTTATACTAACTACTCAATATGGAGAGTGGAAATTTTTTTTTTCACTGACGTTTGATAAGATGTTAATAGGACAGTGAATGAATGTAGACCCAAAGAAAGTTAGCTAAATTGTCGATTGGTAAGACTTTCTAAGACTTTTTTGTTACCAGTATAAAAGAGATTTCAACATCATGTTTACAATAATATAACACTGGACCCAAGTAGTAACTTTGAGGGGCACCTCATCTAATAAGAAAAAGACCTTGATCAACATTTATTAGCTATATTATATCATTGAAATAATATTTTAAGAAAGAAAGGAAACGAACGGTTGAAAAGATTTCCGTGATTCCCATTTGAAAAAGCTTAGTTATTAAAATATAATGATTAACTCTATCAAACGCTTTAAAGAAGTATAAACAACATTTTTAGAAAAATAACAAAAATTTTTGTAGAATATGGATGACAAGAGATTTTATAGTTAAATAGATATTGGTGTGTATTTGAGTAGGTGTACAAGGAGCTCGAGAGCGAGGCTAACCAGCCGTACTGGCAGGACGTGCAGACCATCGTGCTGGATGAGCTCAGCAAGCTGCGGCGCCTAGCCGCGCCTGACGCGCGCCGCGATGGCGTACACCGTGCCGTGGCCGAAGACGTCACGCAGGTTTCTCCCTGTCACTCTCCCTCTCTCTCTCTCTCTCGAACATTCTCTGAACGAGCTCACCAAGCTGCGGCGCATGGCCACGCGCGCCGCGACGGCGTACACCGTGCCGTGGCCGAAGAGGTCACGCAGGTTTTTCCCTCTCCCTCTCTCTCTCGCTGGATGAGCTCAGCAAGCTGCGGCGCCTGGCCATGCCCGACGCGCACCGCGACGGCGTACACCGTGCCGTGGCCGCAGAGCGCAGGTTTTTCCCTCTCCCGCTCTCTCTCGCTGGATGAGCTCAGCAAGCTGCGACGCCTGGCCCTGCCCGCCGCGCACCGCGACGGCGTACACCGTGCCGTGGCCGAAGAGGTCACGCAGGTTTTTCCCTCTCCTCTCTCTCTCGAACTTCCTGGATGAGCTCGGCAAGCTGCGGCGCATGGCCGACGCGCGCCGCGACGGCGTACACCGTGCCGTGGCCGAAGAGGTCACGCAGGTTTTTCCCTCTCCCTCTCTCTCTCGCTAGATGAGCTCGGCAAGCTGCGGCGCCTGGCCGTACCCGACGCGCACCGCGACGGCGTACACCGTGCCGTGGCCGAAGAGGTCACGCAGGTTTTTCCCTCTCCCTCTCTCTCTCTCGCTGGATGAGCTCAGCAAGCTGCGGCGCCTGGCACTGCCCGACACGCACCGCGACGGCGTACACCGTGCCGTGGCCGAAAAGGTCACGCAGGTTTTTCCCTCTTCCTCTCACTCTCGCTGGATGAGCTCAGCAAGCTGCGGCGCCTGGCCGTGCCCGACGCGCACCGCGACGGCGTACACCGTGCCGTGGCCGAAGAGGTCACGCAGGTTTTTCCCTCTCCCTCTCTCTCTCGCTGGATGAGCTTGGCAAGCTGCGGCGCCTGGCCGTGCCCGACGCGCACCGCGACGGCGTACACTGTGCCGTGGCCGAAGAGGTCACGCAGGTTTTTCCCTCTCCCTCTCTCTCTCGCTGGATGAGCTCAGCAAGCTGCGACGCCTGGCCATGCCCGACGCGCACCGCGACGGCGTACACCGTGCCGTGGCCGCAGCGTCACGCAGGTTCCTCCCTCTCCCTCTCTTCCGCTTACTCTCGCTGGATGAGCTCAGCAAGCTGCGGCGCCTGGCAGTGCCCGACGCGTGCCGCGACGGTGTACATCGTGCCGCGACCAAAGACGTCACGCAGGTCTCTCCCTCCATCTCTCTCCCTACAGGCTGCAGCGCCTGGCCGCGCCCGATGCGCGCCTCGACGGCGTACACTTGACAGATTTATGTTAATATTAGAACCATCGCGTTACCTACCAGAAAGGGTAGCTCGCTGTACTGTTGGACCAGCCAGTGTAGTTTAAAGTAAAGACACAAAATTTGTAAAGAATATTCAAAGAAATAATCTTAATCTTTGCACAGATTTGCAAATAATTTATATTTATATATTTTTTTGCAAATATTGTAGGAAACAAGTAATTAAATAGCTTTAATAATTTACAGATTTTTAAAGGCAAGACGGGCGCGCAATTGGAGGCATTGCAAACACAGATAGAGCAAAAAATCAGCGGCCGCCATGACGGCGTCGACGTCGGCTACTGGGAGAGCTTGCTCAGTCAGCTTAAAGGTGAGTTTTGTTTTAAGTTTTTATAGATGATGACATAAACTGTTATTTATTTTGCCATATATGATGGTAGAACGATGAAATTAATGTCCGGAGACTCTTTATACTGGAAATGAGGGGCATTCCACCGATATTTGTTGACAACGAATCTGCATTTTGATTTTTAATCGAGGGTAGATGTGGATGTCTATGGATCTCAATATCCACTTACCATAAGTTGGACCCAGTTGAGAGAGATTGCAGATACAAATGTTAACTTGTATTAATTTTGATTTGATCTAATGTCACTATTTTTTATAGACTTATTTTTCAACAAATTTCATAAAAGAGGAGTCTTAACAAAGTATGAATAATTAAAGTATATTATAGGATATGGTCAACAGGGAGTTAGAGCATATTCAGTGCTGATCTGACAGATTTGGTTTAACTGTTAATCCATCCAAATGTCAGGTAATAATACAACATAGCTGTCGCATAATTAAAAAATTGGACACTACAGCTCTACCCCCGATCATTTTCAATGGCTCTATTTTGGGATTATGCCTTCTGTTACGGATCTTAATCCTTGACTCTACTTTGAGCTGGCATGCCCAAGTGATGCCATGAATGTAGGACATAAAGTCACCGGTACTGAGGGCTCTTTATCACCTAAAAAACTTTTTGCCACCGAGGACCAAAGCATTAATTGTGCAATCCTCAATTCTTACCCTGATTGATTGGGCTCGGGGTTTCTCTGCGTGATAAACTTAGAAATGAGGACATCCGCAGTAGAACCAGAGTGACCGACATAGCCTAACCGATTAGTAAGCTGATGTGGGAAAAAAGATTCTCGAGTGGCAGCCTCGTATCGGTAGGCGTAGTGTAGGACGACTCCCCACTAGATGGAGTGACGACCTGGTAAGACATGCAGAAAGTGGATGGATGCAGGTGGCTCAGGACCGTGCTTTGTGACATTACTTGGGGGAGGCCTATGTTCAGCAGTGGACTTGTGAAGGGCTGTAATAATGATGATGAGGCATCTTAAGACATGTAATTTATGCCATTCTATTGAAATAGCGAAAACGTTATTTTTTATTGAATATTATTTCTGACTATATTTCTAACTGCTTGCTCAATAAGCATGCAAGCAAGCAGGAAACTTTTTATGTTGTTGGGAAACTGCAATCAGTTTTCCTACAACATGAACAGTTTCCTTAGAAAAAAATATTAGTTGCAAATGTTTACAAGACAAGATTTTTCATCCAAGTTTAAGATACTGTGGTGTTAAAAAAGAAACTCTACATCCTTGATGCCAATTGGCTTGAAAAATAGTGCAATGAATTAAGATTTAAAAACAACAAAAACAACATTCAATATAACAAAAAGTTATTGCTATATCATTGCTGAGGGGCTTATTTTTCGATAAGTTTTTTTTTTGTTTCATTTTGTATGACATCTCAAAATATTGTAAAAATTAGAGATTGTGGCCAAAACTAGAGAGGTAGAAGTAATACACATCTAATGACGAATAATATTATGAAAAAAATAAACAAAAAAGTATTACGTGCCCCAACCAGGTACATGCCCGATATCTTCTTATTAAAAAAATGTTTGATTCGTTGTGCATATCCAGCATTATTAATTTCTTGAGCAGCTGTTTGGATACGCGCATGCATGCATTTATTAGCAATCGGCTTCTTGAATACAATCTTCTTCAGACATCTCCAGTAAAAAAGTCTAAGCGATTTAGATTGGGAGACCGTGAAGTCCACAAAATGGGTCCTAGGCGTCCAATCAACCTTCGTGGGTAGTTTTCGTTTAAAAAGTTTCTTACTCTTAAGGCGTAATACGCATCATTTTGCAGCCACATTCTTTTGCATGTTTCTAATGAAACATTATCCAAGAGAAAAAGGAGTTCACTTTCCAAAAAAAAATTTCTTTTATTTTGTATTGGTATTGTTCCTCCCTTTTTAAGTGTGAATTTTCCAACTGCCAGCTGTGTGAATTGTGCAGGTTTGAATATCCATCTTTGCGAATGAAATTAATTATACGTATTATGGTGATACATTTTCGATAAAATCATGAAAATTAGAAAATCTTGAAAACTGTAAGTTTTATTAAAATTTTTTGGCTATTCTCCATAGGGCACTATTTCATTTCTCGTCACATTTCGTTTGGACCACTATTAACCGGACGTCCTGTAGATACTATATTTTTCGAAAACGGCACTTATAATTAATTAAGTACTATAAAAAACGCCCAACGTCGGGTCGCTCCCTGGTCCGCAGTACCCCCACCGTTGCCCTACACAAGTACATTTATTTCCCAACTGTAAGGTCCTTTAACTGTGGTAGTAGCCTGTAACCAGGATTTTGGCGGTGTTTCATGCTTCGGAAAGCACGAAAGGCCGTTGCTCTTGCGCCTGATTTCTCTATCTGGTTGTGTTGGATCACCGTTCCATTAGACCATTAGAGAGAGGGAATAGAGAGTGCACCTGTGCTTGTGTATACACTCGTGCACTATAATCCTTTCCTGCGTAGATGGCTAGTTTTCGTTGAAATTGGCCGCCGTCTGGACGACATTATTAGTACATATTAATCGAATTACATTGTTTGACGAATGCTGTTCGGTGTGCAGCGCACATGGCGCGGGCGCGGCTGCGAGACCGCCACCAACACAACCTGCGCCGCAAGTTGCAGCTGCTTAAGCGCGAGCAGGGCGTGCAGCCTGCCGGACAGCTGGACCCGCAACAGTGAGTTACCTGCGTCGCTACCTGTACACATTCGTGTTGTCTGCCCGCCTCTCTAGGTTAAAGGATTTTTTCGCCGCCTAGCTAGCCCCGTGTGACGAGACGCATCTTCGGTCTCCGTTTCCAGGTACGTAATCACCAGCACTCAAAGATTTTTATGTGTACTACTAGACGAGTAATTCTGAACAAAAATTGTTACAACTGTGGATGGCGCCGCGATTAGCTCGCACGGTAAATATGAAACGCAGTTGTTTTCAAGCAAATACGAAATAAACTTACACACTTATCTGAAATAAACTTCAAATTACCTTAAGTACCTAGTTATATTAAACAAAATCAGTGTTAAATAGTCGAAAACAACGTTTGCGGTTTACAAAACAAAGAACGAGTCTTTTCGCCCGCTCACAGTCGACTAAAGAAACTACGAAGTATTAATCGTAACTTAGTGCGCAGTATATTAGTACCGTAGTACCCCGTCTAGTACTATAAATTAAAGACTTTGCCAGCACCACCCGGAATGAACTCTAGGTCACCATCAAGTATCTAAAGAGGTCTTGCTAAGTTGGTTCGGAGTGGGTGGTCTGAGCAACCGCAGGTCCTGTGCCACCAGTGAATTGCAAATATGCCACTGCATGGTATGCATTCCTTAGGTAAGATAAATATTGTAATAAACTAAAGAAATTATTAAAATTCTAATTTGAATTCAACAGATCACAATCACCTGAGCCGAAAACGCCAACTAAAGAAGAGGCCGAACAATCACATCCGGAAGCAGAAGCTTCCGATTGGGAATGCGAGGAAGGTCGAACGGCTTGCTTGGCGCTCTATGAAAATGGGAACTATTCGCCAGAATTGCTGTCTCCCTCTGCCTTGGAGCCCGCTACAATACTAACGGCGCCGGAGCACGATCAACAGCGTCTGGCGTATCTGCGAGCACGTCTCCATCATGCCAAGAGACCACCTGATCTAGAAATGGTAAGTTCTAATACATTTTTGTAACTTATACCGGAGCCCTACCTATACCGAAACTAAACTAAATAGGCTATCGTAGTTTCGTTTTTATTTAACATAATAATAGTTGTGGTCCCAGGTGTGTTCCTTTAGGTATTCAGTCATATTAAGTGCCTTCTACCTGGAAATGGTAATGTTATGTCATAAACAGGTAAGAATATTTTCCTACTGCAGTTCGACAATGTGTCAGGTAAAAAGTGTTCTTGATTCTTAAATGACTAATACTCAAATGATCTTAGTAAAACACCAAACTATGAACAATTTTATAAAGGAACAAAATGTTTGGTCTTACGATTGTAATTACGCAAAATTACGCAATGTAACTTTTGGCATGCGTAACGCGTTCAGTCTAATTTATAAAGCAATCTATATTAAATTACTCCTATTTTATAACCCATGACATTCCGGTGAATAAATAATAATAATAATAATTTTTATTTTAATAAACTGTACAATGAATTCAAATAATATCTTAATTTTAAATAGTCTACAATAACAGGCATCTGAACTAGGATAAACTCTTTCTTATATAAAATGAATAACATACTAACTAATTAAGGTTATTTCGGTAAAATGTATTATCATTAATAATTTACTTATCATATTAATTAACTTCAAACAATCAGCAACTTTTCCGTATCATCGTATGATAAAATTTGTGACCATGTTCGAATAACATTTTTAAATTTTTAAGTAAAAAATCTATGCATGAAAGAATGCCTTATTCTATTGTTAGTTTCAATTACTTTATCTTTGCTTCTTTTATCAGTGGCCTCTCTTCTGTAGGGTAATTTTAAGTACTGTTATAGTAACGTACTCATAATGTATAACTGGCGCACTGAGAGGACATCATAGGATTTATATAAGAGATGGGACGGGATTAGGATAGGGCGACTTTTAATACAGCTCTTTGAGTGCGTTCCAGTGGTAGCAGTGTAGTTTTAGCTGTTCCTCCCCATGAGGTTATACAATAGGTGTGAATTGATTGACATAATGTGAAATATATTCGCTTTACTACCTTAATATTAGCAATTGAACGAATCTTTTTTAAAAACAACATTAGTTTACGGACTCTATTACATAAGGCGGTTTTTGTTTATTAACCCTATTAAAACTTTCTTGTGCACATATATAATCCTTGTCTACTGTATTTGTGGAAAAAAAGGAGCACGGTATCATCTGCGTAAAATATTATTTTACCTAAGTTAAGTTCGAGATTGCAATGGTCATTTATATAAATGAAAATTAGGGTTGGCCCTAATACACTTCCTTGAGGCACGCCAAAATAAGTATTTTTTTGCTCAGAGCTAACAACTTCTATCTTCTTCTTTTCAACTAGATTTTCTAAATAGTTGCAAAAGGTTGAAGCTGCTTACCTCAAATACTTATGCTCTCTAGCTTATTTAATAAGATGGAAATAGATCCAATAGTGTCAAAAGCTTTTGCTAGGTCAAGGAAAGTGCCAATTGATTGGTTGCTATTATCTAATTCTTGAGAGAAGTAATGGGTCATTTCCTGTACAGCATCAGCAGTGAACAGTTTGGGCCTGAAACGATATTGCATTTTCAATAATATAGATTTACTTTGTAAATAATTGATTATTTTGTTGTTAATAAATTTTCCTAATATTTCAGACGTAGATGAGAGTATTGAGATAGGCCGATAATTGGAAACTTTTTTTTGTCCACCGAATTAAATCCTGGAACTACAATTGGTTTTTTTTAACAATTTGGGAAAATTTCTTCATAGAAGCGAATTCGGAAAATATGAGTTAATGTTGGTACTAGAATTTAGTGTAGCGTCCGTATCTAATAATGTGAACAAGCTTAATTGGTAGTTTTTTTGAGTTGAGAAAGTAGTTTGAGTTGATAAACTGTGCTATTAAATTCTAAAATGCTTATAACTAACTATACAATTACGTAACTGACAACTGACGGAGAACAAAGGCTTTCGAGTGGCGAGCTCGTAACGGTAAGCGAAATTACGAGCGGCCTTCTGGTGGATGGAATGACGGCTTTGTAATGTTTCAATAAACTCGATGGATGCAGGTGGCTTGGGACCGTGCTTTGTGGCATTCCTTGGGAGAGGCTTATGTGCAGCAGTGGACTTGTGAAATATAATACCCTCAAGTCGGGTGTAAACAAATTTTACTCACCGAAGTAAATGCACAACGCACTAGAAGTGACTCCGATACTTGGTTTGCAACACGCGTTAGAGCTCACGGGCTCAAACTTATTTAGTCCGTGTCATAAAAAGCTACTCTGTGCCGCTGACCGCGCAGCTCGCACTGGCGTACAGATTTTGTTTGTGTCTGTTCTAGTATGTAGTACATCTAGATATCGATGTGCGTTGTGTGTGTGCAGGTTGGTGCAAGCGCGGGCGGAGCGGGCGCGGGCGCGGCGGCAGGCGACGCGCTGGAGCTGGCGGCGGTGCGCTCCATGGGTCCAGCGGCCGGCACCGCGCAGTTCAGCGTGGAGCAGGCGCTGCCCGAGCAGCCGTGCCTGTGGGCCGACAAGTACCGGCCCCGCAAGCCGCGCTACTTCAACAGGTCGCCACTCCTTTACAGCTAACAGCACGCGCTCCATGGGTCCGGCGGCTGGCTTACGTTATCTACACTCACCAGCTGTACAGCAGCATTAAGCTGCTGTTGTTCTCTGGTATATTGTGAGAATGTGGTCCTTCCTCGGTCGAGCCAACCCATTCGTGCTTCAACCTTAATATAGTTGCAGCATGGCTTAACCACGTATAATTCCAATTTGAATACTCAGTGGTGTACAAAACCTTAACTATCTGTTTCTACTCTTGGTGTATAAGTGATATAGTAGTATAATATATTATATATAACAGTTACTTTTAACAGTTAAAAAAACCCTTACGAGTCGATATAGCCTACACTGTCTACGCTACAGCAAGGCGTTCGATCTAAAGTTGTTCAAAACGACTATAAATTAATAGCACGTTACAGACTATAAACTATAAATTTCTAGCGCGCTATTAAATACGCTATGTTATAGCGCGCTATTTATAGAAAAGCGCGTAGGAGGCCGGCAAGCGCGTAAAGTTTTGCAGCACGCTAAATTTCGTAGCACGTTACATTACATGTCGTTCGTTGGAAAGACCGCGTGCTATATAAGAAAAATTGTTTCGTAATAATTCGAATATTAGACTTAAAATAAAGCAATAAAGAAGTCCAATGAACATTTACATAGCACGCGCTTTGCGTTATGAAAAGATAGCGCGCTATAATATGGCGCTATGCGCTATATTAACCACCATTAGTTCGATTGCTTAAATTATTCAGTCCTTCTCTACAAACTTCTCGAAGTCGAAATAAACGATGATTTGTTTACTTACATTAAAAATCACTGTCAAACAGTGATCATCAATGTTTATAAATTGGCAGTTGTGCAAATCCACTTGGAAATTCCGCAAGGACCGCTATTAGGCCCACTGCTTTTAAATATTTTTGGTATCTATACATGATATAAAATATAACATCGATTGATGATATGAAAACTTTACGCCCCAGCTCAAAAATTTTCACTGCTTTGGCTTTTAAGCGGGAACCTAAATGTTATTGTTTATGTATTTGCGGTAAACTGCTTCAATAAGTGGAAGTCCGCTAACACTTATTGAAGCAGTGTGGCGTACTAATTGTTCATAACTTACTCAGAAATGAGAGGAGGCTTGTGCCCAGCTGTGGGACGTACATAGGTATATTTTAATATGAGACGTATACTTTTTATACAATAAAGGTGATAAACGAGAACACAGTCCACACGATGTTAAGTGGATACCATGGCACATAGACATCCACATCTAACCTTGATCAATAATCAAAATACAGATGCGTTGTTACCCCTGAAGACAAAGATGGACTGTGTCGCTACCAGTAAAAAGAGTTCCAGGTTTCGTACCATCCCTAGCATGCGAAACACAGCAGCATTAAGCAGCGTGGTCTTTCTCCACTCCAATTGACCCATTTGTACCATCCATACCAACCATAATATAGCAATGTGGCTATACCACGCATACAATATTTCTTTAATATGTTTGTATGGTTTGTGTGTTGCAGAGTGCACACGGGCTTCGAGTGGAACAAGTACAACCAGACGCACTACGATATGGACAACCCGCCGCCCAAAATCGTGCAGGGCTACAAGTTCAACATCTTCTACCCGGATCTCATCGACAAGAACTCCACGCCAGAATTCTCGCTTGTACGTTCGCAGTACATATTTTTAAATAATATAAGCGTAAAAAACAAGCAACACAGTCCACCTGACGATAAGTGCATGCTGTGGCCCGTAGACATCTACATATATCCTTAACTAAGTATCATAATGCTGAATTCCAGTAAAAAGTGTCTCCGGTTCTCTACTCTCACCATACGAAACATAGCAGCATTAAGTTGCTATTTTACGTTTGTGTTCTGTAAGAATGTGGTCCTTCCCCAATTGAACTAACCAATTTGTTAATGCACAACCATATTATAGATGCAGCATGCAGCAATTACTCGATTCCCAAGAATCAGTAAATCCTTCATGAGGCAATGTATACACTTTTACAACAAAGTCCCAGAAAATATGCAGGCCTTGTCTATAAAATGTTCAAAATTTTTATTAAGCAAAAATTGTTTATTAAGATTTATCATACTAAATGTAATTAATAATTGGAGCAAAGCGAGCGGAGCTCCCATGGCGCAAAAAAACAATTCTTTGAAATCTATCACCTCCATAACCCATAGATCAATTTACATATTTTTTTCGGCGATATTTGTAGCTCAACGCAGACAAGGTTTGTAAACAATAAAAATCTGAATTTGTCTAAAAGATATTAAAAAAATAACCAAAAACTAAATTGTCTATGGGAAAATACATGTAAAGCAAAAGCGCGCGCTTTAGACTTTTACTCCTTTCCGTTTATGATGCTAGCAAAACCCGCAGCTAGCCAAACCTTTGCATCTGCATCGGCCCTAGTACATGATTAATAATAAACCATGGGAATGAGGTGATCACTATTATTCTGTTTCCAAATGTTTTATTTTTAAAAAATTAAAAAATGTCACGCTAGACGTTTCGAGAGCTTTACATCACTCTTGGTCACGGGGAGGACTGAGATGTTCAATGTCCAGATGTCATAGTTAACCACCGTTACCATAGATTAAAATTTAACTTTTGTTTTTTATCTATGTTTTGTGTTTAATCTATGATAACCGCGGTTAATTATGACATCTGGACATTGAACATTTCAGTCCCCCTGTGACCATGGATGCTGTAAAGCTCTCGAAATGTCGGGTATTTAAAAAGTTAAATATACGCGATAAAATCCGTAAAAACTAGTATTATTTCAATGTGTAGTGTTCGCGTAAATATAAGAAATCATTAAGTCACGCTAGGTTTCATGCTGGTTCTTCCCAGGACGGAGGCTTTTTCAGAAACAGTAGTAAAGCTTAAATGACCTTCAATAAGTGTTCTTGTAATCTGTATTGAATAAGTTATTCTATTTTATTGTATGATGGGTGTACGACGCGCAGAAGCCGTGCGCAGACAACCCGGAGTTCGCAGTGCTGCGGTTCCATGCGGGCCCGCCCTACGAGGACATCGCCTTCAAGATCGTCAGCCGCGAGTGGGAGTACTCGTACAAGCGCGGCTTCCGCTGCCACTTCCACAACAACATCTTCCAGCTCTGGTTCCACTTCAAGCGCTACCGTTACCGCCGCTGAATATATCGCCTGGTCGTTCTTTACGCTTTTCATTTCTACCTTCCCCATCCAACTCCGTTTACCTCACAATTTTTTTTATAGAATAAGTATGACAAACTAGCACATAGTCCACCTGATGGTAAGTGGTGCAGCGGCCATTACACATTCACTTAGGAAATAAATCCAGATGCTTTGTCACCCCCTGAGGACTAAGTCTCCAGATCTCTACAGCCACCATACAAAACAGATGCTATTTTACGTTGGTTTTCTAGGAGTGAAAGTCAAGCTAACCAATTAGTTCAACCATAATATAGCTATAGCACCACCATTTTAACAATATATTGAAGACACATAATTCATCAGACGTGCGGTGGAGCCCAAAACAAATATTTTTGACCATTGCAAATATATTTGACTGTCCTTTAAAAGTCTACTACTGCAGAACATCAGCTTAGCCTGTTTTTAAAAACATTTGGCTTAATCATTAACACACTTAAGATTAAGGAGCGATAAGCTAATTGCAAAGTCGCAATAATCTTCATTTCTGCTTAATTTAAAAAATTGCAATATTATTACCTTTTTAAATTTAAATCAGATGTATTTCATTCTTTGGTCCTATATTCAACAAGACATTGGGTGCGTTTGGCAGAAAAAAGCGCTAGCAAGCGCTTATAAGCGCTAAAATAGTTTTCGGCCAGGACACGATTGCTACTTCAGTAGCGCTGACACAATCCGCCATTTTGCTTATTTAATTTGTTTGTTTTGAAGTAGAGTTTATAAGTTGTTTTGTGCAATATTAGTTTTAAGTAATATAATGACATGAATAAACATATACATGCTATTAAAAACTCATGTTTGGTAAGTTTTTAATATGAATACTTTACAAACATATATTTAAATTAGGTTAGATTCCCCGGTTAAAACTAACATCGTGTCCTGGAGGAAAATAGCTACTTACGATTTGACAGCGCTTACCGCTTACGATCGCCATTTTGCTTACAAGCGCTTGCTAGCGCTTTTTTCTGCCAAACGCACCCATTGGTTACAAATTGGTATACCCCATGAACAAGATACTAATTACTACTAACTGTTGAACTACTACTAACTGTTGGATAGGTAAGATCAATAAAATGTAATCTTACCTTTGTGCACCATATCTTATGTAAAATGTATGTTGAACATATTACCGTTCAAATGTTCATCACCATCATCATCAGCCTGTGGCAGTCCACTGCTGGACTTCTCCCAAGGCGCGCCACTTAGCCCGATCTTCGGCTACACGCATCCAGTTTCTACCAGCCACTTTGCGCAGATCGTCGTTCCATCTGGTCAGGGGGCGTCCCACACTATGTTTGCCTAGACGCGGTCTCCACTCCATAACACGTCTACTCAACCGGTTGTCACTTCTGCGACAGACATGACCAGCCCATTGCCACTTCAGCTTACAAACGCGGAAAGCTATGTCAGTAACCCTGGTTCTCTGGCGGATTTCTTCATTTCGAATTTTGGCTACCAGAGAAACTCCGAGCATAGCTCTTTCCATTGCTCGCTGAGCGACTAAGCTTTTGGAGCAGACATATCGTCAGTGTCCACGTTTCGGCACCGTAAGTGAGCACCGTTCAAAGGCTTATTAAGGTTTATTACCATTTTTTTATGAGCTTCGCATGATTCTATCTATGTAACAGAATGTTTTAATATAATTTTTAGTCAGTGATCCAATTGTATGATACAATTTTTTTAACACAGATTTGCAACGGGATATAGATGTTAAAGTTACAGCCTCTCTACGTCCCACTGCTAGGCACAAGGCTTCTCTCATTTCTGAGAGAGCTTTAGGCAAGGAAGTGTCCTCCGCGCTGCCCCAATGCGTGTTGGCGAAAATTACATGTTTTCGTAATATTTTTTTTCTTATTTCTCAGATATTCAAGTTTCCTCACGACGTTTACCTTCACAACCGAGCATGTAGTAAATCAGCACTAAAAATTGCAATTAACAATTTCATTGATGCCGGCGGAAATCAAACCCTGGTTGCTCACGTACTGTGAAATTTACAGAGAGCACTTACTATCTGAGCTACCTAGACATACCTTGGAATATTTTTGCCACAATAGCTCTATATATTTCTCAATAAAAAAGAATTGACCAAAGCCGTAGTGTATCTATAAAATGGGTGTCTTTAAGGCAAGACTGAATGGGATTTTGTTACACTAAAATACATAGTACAATTTACCTAAGGCTTACATAGGTAAAAAAGGAATTTTTATGATGACATCAGAATATCGCTCCTGGTTCATCTGAATTCATAGAAAATTTCAACAACATTTAGTCATCATGATCAGCCTGCAGCAGTCCATTGCTGGAAAAAGGTTTTCCGCATCATATATCGTGCGGATTTATTCATAACGGTTTTTATCTGAGAACATTCCATGTATTTAAAAACAATTTGGTGTCAGTATAACTGCAACCCTGATGTCAGCTGCTGAATAGTTTGTTTTTGTTAGAAGTCAGTAATTGCATTGAAGATATTAAACTTCTTACAAAATGTATGCGATATGCTAATATATATGTTACTAAGAAAGTAAAATATTCAAGTTAGAAGGGCTGTCTGGACTAAAAATGTGCTTTGATGACATAACCAATGAAAAGTAGTTCTGCAATCATTAAATGATAAAATTTGAACACTAAATATTGCATTTATATCCCAATATTTGAATATTACTTACTACTTAAAAGTAAATCTTTAGCTTAAAATTTAAAAGAATAAATTAGAACAGAAACCAAAAACAACTACACATTATTTTATTTAAAATACATAGACTTATTAATTATTCCTTTTTGGCTTCAGTGGCATTTGTAACTTCTTCTGTTGCAGGATTTCCCCTAAAGTTGGGAAATTGTTCCCATGGGGCACTAAGTTCAAAACGTCTGAACTCCTGTGCTAGTTCTAGTGGTTCAACTACAACACGCTTTTGCTCATCATCATAACGAACTTCAACATAGCCACTAAGTGGAAAATCTTTTCTAAATGGATGGCCTTCAAACCCATAGTCTGTCAAAATTCTTCTTAAGTCAGGATGGTTCGCAAAAAAGACTCCATACATATCCCATATTTCTCTTTCATACCAGTTGGCAGCTTTAAATACTTCACATGCAGAGTCGATAGGTGTTAATTCATCTGTGTAAGTCTTGACACGGATTCTAGCATTATAACGAAGGGATAACAAATTATAAATAATCTCAAATCTATTGGGTCGAGATGGTACATCCATGCCCGCAATGTCGACAAGGCTTGCAAATTGAGCATTATGGTGGTCTTTCAAAAACTGTAAAATTGGAATAACAGCATCAGGAGGTATGAGTACTTCCAATTCATTGCCAGCAGTAAGTTGTACTTTTTGAACATACTTAGGCAAGCATTCTGCCATATACTTGCCAAAATCTATAAGCTGTGCTTTTTGCAAGGGGTCAATTTTAGCCACAGTTGGTCTGGTTTCAACTTGAGGTGTGCCTTGATCGGTCTTTGTTGCCACTCGTTGCACAGTTGGCACTTTCGTGTTATTTAATATCACGCGTCCGAGGTGACAATTTGCACCTATGGCACGTTTCAAAAAGAAAGACATTTTAATTTATTATTCGTTTATCCTTACGTAATTCGTTTTCAACCAAGAAAGTTCACAATAGTTCGAATATGAATATGTCAAACTCAAATTTGTGTCCCACTGACAAGTGACATGACAATGACAAATTGGTGTTTTTAACAACTAAAGGCAAGGGAGTTTGTGTCCACCCACCCTAGTCTAGATTATACAGTGTGTCCGGTCACGGACTAGCGATATTTTAGGTACTTATAATACAGCTATTTTAATATAAAAATACACTACACACTGAGGTCTAATCCCCTCCCTCTCTATTTGGCAGCCGTTTTGTTTTTCTCTTGAGATATTCTCTACGCGTTTACGAAAAAAGTCATATCTCTGAAAGTTTTAGTCTTACTGAGATAAAAACTCATTCCGAGGCCAATAATATTGTTTATCGTTTACATTATCAAAATTTTTGTTGACATACTTGTAACTTTGAAGAAAAAAAAATTAACTTCAAATAAATATCAAAAAAATATGCTAATCGGCAAATTATTGTAAATTACTGCAAAAACAACCCCGTTCACCCTTTTTATTTTTATACTAGATCGACAGATTTTGAGTTAAGCTACAATACAACATAAAGTTTACAGCTGTATGTTTATTACTTTAAGAATTATTGTTGTTTGAACATAGCATATACGCAAACACAAAAGGCCTTTGTTAACCTTTTGAGCGCCACGCCAAAAACTCACTACCGTGTCCTGTACGCCAAAGCGAAAAGTAAACAAAAATATCTACGAAAAAAACAGTGCTGCCAAGAGTTGATATATCGATAACACAAAATAACTGGTTTTTGTTAGTTTTTTATACAATAAATGACTATAATCGGGTATTTTTTATTTAATCTTGTGCTGTCTTCCACTCTTTTTATATATGTACTTTGTACATAAATAAAAAACAAACAATAACAATAAAATAATAGTAAACCACAATACTACTCTCCATCGTGATGACGTCACTGTCACGACTGGACGACAACGGCGTAGCTGACCTATCTTTTGAAACTTTCTTAGAGATGTAGCCGTGTCGCACGTTGTGTATCGATTTCAAAATCGATCTAACCAAAATATACAGACATCGATTCAAAATATTTTATGGCGAGGCGTAGGCCAAGTGAATCACAGAAGAAAAGTCACGCTCTTATGACAATGGGGGTTTCATATGATGCTGATGTTGCTAAATGATTTTGAGATTGAGAAAGAAAATCGCACAACACAAAATTAAAAATTGCTCTTCATACCATAAGTTAAAAAAAAACACATTTATTATTTGTAATTTTATATTATTAAAATAAAAAAGTACATAATTATTCACTAATCAACAATTATATATAGGTAATTATTCGCACTAGGAAAATCAGTCTTATAATATTAAAATCTT